ATTCAAGTCAGAAAGAAAGGGAATTGAAAATTAAGATCAACTTCTAAGAGCTTAAAGTTAGTTTGATGAAGTCACTTCTCAAAATATTTTTTAAATTGTATTCTCAGTAGAATATTAATGCAGCAGGTCCCTCCCCACTACCCACCCCTCTTCTCTCTGGGTTAATTCACTCACCGAACTTGCTGCCATATTGGCAGATTGGAGGTCCCTCAGAGAGGCAGCAACAGCCACAACTAACTCTCTCAAGATTCTATAGGGAGGCTACTCTCCTATTACTTTATACTCTAACGCCTGAGCCCCGGCTGGTATGCTTCCTATAAATCAGCCCCAGCTGCCTCCACTAACTCTGTTAAAAAACAAACAAACAGATTTTTATTGGTCTTTTTTTTATCACCTAAATTTCCTCCTGAATCCTTCCCTTTCTCCACTCCAAGAAAGCCATCCTATATAACAACAACAAAAAAAATTCTTTCATTAACTCTTAAAACATTGACTAAAAAAAAGACAAAGCAAAAATAAATTATCCATAAACTTGGGGCACACTCTCCCACTAAAACACAGTTTTAGAGACAGAGAGACAGAGAGAGAAAGAGAGGGAGAGAGATGGAGAGGTTGAAAGAGAGAGAGAGACAGAGACAGAGAGAGGGAGGTATAGTCTCTCTTCTATTAACTGGCTCTTTCAGGAAATAGGTGACAATACAGGTTAAGATAGTCTTCCTTCCACCAGCTCTGGGATCTTTTCTTAGACCAACTTTCCTGGTCCAAAGCAGGGTTCTTTTAGTCACAGACCTCTCCTTTAATTCATGGAGATTAACCAAACTCTTATTTCTGCTAAGCCATGTGCCTTGGTCCAATAATCTCAGAACTTTCCTGGGGTTCATTGTTCCCTAACTTTCAATTCCGAAGTTCTCTTACTGGTCGAATGCAGATTGAATGATGAGGAACAGTGCACTGGGGTCATCTTTGCACTGAGGAAGTGCCTTGTCTCTGGGTAGCGGATTTCTTTTCTTCCAGATATGTAAGTCTCACATTTATCTTTGGCTTTTGTCCCTTTCAATTAGTAAAACTGTCAAAATCTGAAGGGGTACTCTTTTACATTAGAATATTATTGGATATTAAAGGTGGAAGGGACCTAAGTGATCATCTGATGTTATCTCCCTATTTTATGGAGGAAACTAAGGCCCAGAGTGGTAAAGTTAATGAAGGTCATACAGCAAATTAGTGGTAAAGTAGGGAGTATGTCACTGTGTCCTGAGTCCCTAGTATACACATTCTGCTACACCATGTGGTCATTCAATCATTCAACAAGAATTTATTAATGCCTACGATGTACTTGACTATGCTAGGTGCTGGTGCTAGAAAGACAAAAATGAAATTGTTCTTGCCTCAAGGAACTTATATTTTATTGGGGGAAACAAAGTGAACACAGATAAGCACACACACATTCACATACACGCATATACACACGCACATATAGACATAAATATATACGCATATACATACGTACACATGAATGTATGTATGCACAATGCATATATATGTGTGTGTGTATACACACACAGATACATAGACATAGGCATAGACACAGACAGACATATGCATATACATTTACATTTACATATATGGACAGAAGGCACCAGCAACTTGGGGTAGGGTGATCATGACAGGTCTCCTGGATGAGAGGATACTTGAGCTAAGCCTTGAAAGAAGCTAGTGATTGTGTGAATTTGCAGAGGTGAAGAGAATGTACATTCCAGTCAAAACATTTCCTTCTTCAAGGTCTGAAGTTAAGGGACAATCTTAGATCCATGGGTATTGGGCTCTAATCCTATAATTATATAATCTACTTTGCTGCTTCTGCTTATTTTGAATTGCAAGGAAAATGAATATTTCTTCCCTTGCTTGTACATTTTCATCTGTCCCCTTGCTACAATCTATTCTTATTAATCATTGATACCACATGAAGAAATAACTGCATCTCTCTCTTTAAATAGTTCTGTTGTGTTAAATGCATTTTAAAATGTTCATGAAGAAAAAGAGTTTGGCCTTGTTATGAAGCTTCTAGCTGAAAGCCAGGTTTTTAAAAAAAAATTATAGAAGCTTCACAATTCATCAGACCAAAAAAAAAAATCCCTATCAGCATTGATACAGAGAGAAGAGGTAGCGTTCTGTGATTCTGTATAGGTGAGAGACTTGAATAGAATCATGGTTGCCAAGGAAACCTTTTCTTGATTCAAGGAGATTACCAAGGGGTTTGATACTAACTCAGGGAATCACACTGGAATTTTTTTTCTTCCTTTTCTATTTTTTTTCCCATTAGATGAAGAATAAGTGAGCAAGGCTGAAAAAGCATTTTAGAACCCATTCTAAAAGCCGTGAGTATCAGAAAGCCCGTACCACTCAGAAGGGAAAGGGTGGACAGAAAATGAACTCAAGAGTTGAATTAATACTTTCCTTCCAATAAGTTGAAACAGTGGGCATAGGAATTTAGCAGCATTTTGATATCAAAAGCCAGAGCAGGGCAGAACAGGTTAAAATTATGCCGAACAGACATGAAGCCTGAAGCATCCGGATATCAGAAGAGTGAGAGCAAATATTTCTCCTAAAAATAAAAGGGATTAGAGGAGGATAAGCAATGCCTAACAAATCCTTTCTCAGTTATTATTACCTGAAGTGAGCTTATTTGTCCCTTATAGTCAAAAGGAGATACCACACCATTCATTTAGTGACAGCTACCCAAATTATAGACATAATGCCAAGAAGGGAATAATGATAACAGCTAACATTTATATAGTGCCTATTATATGTCAGGTGCTTTACAAAGATCCTCACAACAGCCCTGGGAGGTAGGTGCTATTATTATTCCCATTTTACAGATGAGAAGGCTGAGGCTGAAGGTGACCTGCCCAGAGTCACACAGCTAGTATTTGAGGCAGGATTTGAACTCAGCTCTTCCTCACTCCAAGTTCAGTGCTCTTAACCATTGCATCACCTAGCTTCCTTAAAGGTATGCCAGCCATAATTATTACTTGAAGAGTACTTGAACTGTGCATCTGGTATTCTTTATTCTAACTACATGACCAACTCACTTGTTTTTTTCCCAGCCATACATTTAATCCATTACATCCCCCATCCTACTTCTTATTATATATGGGGCAGTATTGAAAACATGCTACCATTCTCCTCAAGTTGACATGGTAAGCAGAAGCACAACAACCTAGTTTTCTCATAACTACTTCTGCAAGGATGAAAAAAAAAATCCCCACCAAATGAAATAATGATCAAGCAATCTAAGGAGAAACGACAAAAGATGCATTCTGCCATCCTAGATCTGGTCTACACAAAGAGATGGCCAGAAGCCTGTCAGGGGACACTAGACAGAAAAGTCCAGCCTTGTAGCATGGCTCCCAGAAGCATTCAAGCTCAGGGGGAGTGCCTGTCCCTAACTTACAGCTGTATTACTTGCATGTTTGCCTTTCAGATGTTTGCCTAGAAGTAATACACTTTACTGAAGTGTATAAGCAACTAAATTCAATTCAGTGATTTTCCAATGCTGGAAAACCAGATTAAACAGAGAATAAAGAAGAATATATATGGGAAGTTAGTTTCCCCCGTTACCTGAAAAAGACTCTTCTCTCTCATTTAAGGAATAATGGAGCTTGTTAAACTAACCTTCATGGACAAAAGTTGGGAATGTGGGACACCTGTATTCAGATACTAACAGGTATCTCTTATTGTGTGCTTTAAAATACCCTGAGGTCATAGGCTAATAGGTTTAAAACTGGAAGAGACTTTAAGTTCATCAAGCATAATCCCTTGGGTTTTTTGTTGTTTGTTTGTTTTGGAGGCAATTGGGGTTAAGTGACTTGCCCAGGGTCCTACAGCTAGTAACTGTCTAAAGCCACATTTGAACTCTGGCCTTTCTGACTCCAGGGCTGTGCTCTATCCACTTGTACCACTTAGCTTCCCCTCCCTGTTTTTTGTTTTTTGGTTTGTTTTTTTGGGTAGGCAATGGGGTTAAGTGACTTGCCCAGGGTCACACAGATAGTAAGTATCAAGTGTCTGAGATGGGATTTGAACTCAGGTCCTCCTGATTCCAGGGCCTGGTGCTCTATCCACTGTGCCACCTAGCTGCCCCTCCCTCCCTGTTTTTACAAAGGAGGAGACTGAAACACAGAGAAGGTAAACGATGCATCCAGGGTCATAAAGCTGGAATATATCTGAGCAAGGATTTGAAACCAATTCTTCCTGACTCCAACAGCTATATACCACCCACTATACTTTGCTGCCCTTACAGAAATCCAGATTCTAAATCATTACTGAATTGTAACCTATTGTATCTATTTCAATAAATTTTTTTTTAGGCAATTGGGGTTAAGTGACTTGCCCAGGGTCACACAGCTAGAAAGTGTCAATTGTTTGGTCAATGATTAATAAGAATAGATTGTAGCAAGGGGACAGATGAAAATGTACAAGCAAGGAAAGAAATACTCATTTTCCTTGCAGTTCAAAATAAGCAGAAGCAGCAAAGTAGATTATATAATTATAGGATTAAAGCCCAATACCCATGGATCTAAGATTGTCCCTTAACTTCAGACCCTGAAGAAGGAAATGTTCTGCCTGGAATGTACATTCTCTTCACCTCTGCAAATTCACACAATCACTAGCTTCTTTCAAGGCTTAGCTCAAGGCTGGATTTGAACTCAGGTCCTTCTGACTTCAGGGCTGGTACTCTATCCACTGCGCCACCTAGCTGCCCCAATTTCTATAATTTTTTATAAAAGTATATTTATTATATTAATTACAGAATAGTGAGAAATTGAAAAAGGAATATGGTTGTATTACAATAGGCCCAATTTGACAATATAATGTCCTATAGGGGAATTTCTCACTTTTATTGGTAACTTAGGATAGAAATGGAATATGTGAACCTTGGAAATTCAAAAAAATGATAAAAAAGTATGGGTTGAAAAGTTACTTGATACACAATTATACTTTACCTTTGAAACAGGATGGTGCAATCTGGAGGAACCTTTCCCATTAGGGCCTGCCGAGCTGCCTCACGTCGTTTCTGCATAGAAATGATTTCCTAGGCAAGAAATATGATCACCAGTTATATTCATATTAAAAAGAGCACATGCCTACCTTTTGACCCAGTAATACCTCTACTATGCCTATACCCCAAGAGGTCAAAGAAAGAAGAAAAAGATCCACATGTACAAGAATATTTATAGCAGTTCTTTTTGTGGTATCAAAGAACTGAAAACTTAAGGAATGTCCATCATGGAGGAATAGCTAAACAAACTATGGCACATGAATGCAATGAAATATTATTGTGCTATAAGATTTGATGAAGAGGATTGGTTTCTGAGAAACCTGGGAAGATTTGTATGAACTGATGCAGAATTAAGTGAGCAGAACCAGGTGAACAATTTACATAATAACCGCATAAAGACAAACCAACTTTGAAAGACTTTGGAACTCTAGACAACCCATGACCAACCACATATCCAGAGGACCCATGATGAAACATGCTACCCATTTGACAGAGGTGATGGACCCAGGGTACAGCTTTAAACATTTATTTTTTGAACATGGGCAGTGGAGGAATTTGTTTTGCTTAATTGTTTTTTGTTATTTGTTACAGGCATTTTCTTTGTTTTGCTTTTTCAGCTGGGGGAGGTGAGGTTAAAGGGAGAGGACATAAATTTGGCAAGTGAAAAAAAATTCATTTAATTTTGAAAAAAAAACTAAAAGCAGATATCCGGGAATTAAAAGCTGATGATGTAGCACTTATAGCAATAACAATAATAATAGCTGACATTTGTGTAGGCCATTGTGGTTTAGAAAACAATTTATTTACACGGTATCATTGATCTGAAACAGTCATCATCAGTTCAAGAGACCTTGGAGGCCATTATATCTGACGCCCTTAATTTACAGATGAAAAAACTGAGGCACAGTTTTTTGCCCATGGATTTGAACCCAGGTCTTCCTAACTACAGGTCTAATACTCCATTCACTATGCTACACTGATTCTCAGGAAGCTTTCCAATAAGAGTAGAATGAGAACTTGCTGGGACTACTGTAAAGGAGATAGATCCTCAGTCAGGTACAAGTTGGACTAGTTGACTTCTGGGGTCCCTTTTAACAGGCCCAAGAAAGATCCCCTCTGCCTCCTCTAAAACCCCCCCATCCATCTTACACTGGATAATGAACAACTCCCACCTTGGGAGTTTCCAAGAGCTATGGCACATAATGGAGCCACTACTGGGCAGGCATGGAGTCCTTACTGGTGCCCCCAATGGAGCATCTCATTGACATAAGGTGACTGAGTGGAAGGAGAAGCAGGCCATCAGAGGACGAACAAGAATAAGGAAAGAGAAAAGAATGGGAAGGAAATGAAAGTAATAATACTTACTAAGGATTTACAAAGATGTAAAGGACATCTTTGTGCCAAGATGTGCCAAGGAATATGTAATAGATTAGAGCAGGTGGATCAAAATAAAAAATATATACTCACAAACAGGCATATCTTTGTGCCCCCAAAGTTTCCTATGTTCATAATGGCCTAAGCCTCATTTCCTGTTGTTGAAATCCTGCCCATCCTCCCAAATCCTCCTCAAAGGCTACTTTCTTTATGAAGCCTTCCCTAATCTCCTTAGCAAGGACTTATCTTTTCCTCTTGGGAATTTGCATTGTACCCTTCTTTAATGCACTTATGTTCTATTCCCATTTATAATTTATTGTTATCAGTACATGTCACTTCCCTTATTACATTGCAAGTACCTTGAGAACTTCCTTTAAATTTCCTTCAGTGCAAGATTCTGCATGTAGTAGGTATTTAATAAATATTTTTGAATGAATGGTCAGTAAGCCTATGAGATATAATTATAAATGTATTAAATGATTCATAAGTCCCAGGGGACAAATTTGTCTCAATTCAATTAAAAAAGCATTTACAAGTGTGCAATATGTGCAAAGAATTGGGGATAGAAAAGATGAAAAGGAACAAAGTCTGTATCCTCCCAAAATGTACAATCCAGTAAGAGATTAGGTGTGTTCACACATATGTATAATACAAGGTAGAATGTGATATGGGTATTTGCTAGACCCAAACAGGGCTAAAAGAACATTTGAGGAGGGAAAAATTGTTTTTAGTTGAGAGGAATTAGAAAAGGAAGGAGAGGTGCGGTCAGAGAAAACTTAAGTATTAACTAATGACGGAAAAGCAAAGAACAAAAGATGAAGTGTGATTGGACTTAAATCCAATCTGGACAGGTACGGCAGAGGTGAGTTTGGAGCAATTGCAAAGGAAGGGAGGGAAATGATTTGAAAAAGAACCATTTGATCATTTGAAAAGGAATCATACCCCTTCTTGTTTTTGAGAAATGTACTTCAGGAAAAGAGAACAGCATGTGATGAGATAGATTAACCGATTAACCAATTTTTCTCTTTCGTACAAAGTTTGCCTCTAAAAACAATTACCAAAGTTTTATTTATTTAAATCCATTTCTGTCACCGTTGGAAGGAAAACTTGCAAAGCAATCAAACTGTCACAAAAACAGTCAAATGCTGATTATTTCTATCTGCACCATTTAAAATGCTGGTTTTCAATAAAAGTAGCATCAATGACTTGTGAGAACTCACAATCTGTGCCAAAAATATGTGCAACCAGTATGTGGGAAAAGTCGTCATTCAACACATCATGGAAACTTCCGTATTTTCTCTCCAGTCTTTTAAAAAGCTGCTCTTGGGCAGCTCTCAACAAAGGACGTCAGCACTGTTGTTTTGTAGCACCATCTGCACGCTACCTCTGAGATCTTGGATAGATCAAAATCTCTCTCTTTAGGGACAAACTATGAAATGTGATGATGCCCTATGAAGACCTGAAGTTTTATGATAACATCGAATCTGTAAAATTTAAAAAAGAAAAACAAAGAAATAGCAGAGGCATCCCTAGAGATTGTGCAGTAGCACCGTTGCTCTCTGACTATACCTGGGTGCACGTCTTCAAATTGTGGCATCACACTCTATACCAACAGCTTTGGGAAGTGAAGCCCTTGGAGGGGATTGCTAATGTCAGGAGAGAACTCAAGCAGAATATGAACAGTCAGAAGGAAAGACAAAAACTCAAGGGAGGATTTAGCCTTTCTTCCACTGGATTTGTCAGGCATTGGTCCAAATGGGCCCAAGGAATTGAGCAAGAATGGGAACATGGGCTGCAGCCCAGAGGGGAAGCAAGCCTTGGAGAAGGAGGAGGAGGATGGCAGTTCATCCTCTCTCCCAAAGAACATGCAGAAAAAGAAAATGAGGGAAATGATGGAGCCAAAACGAGAGACCCACTTTGATAACTTCTTGGGAATCAAAACATGCGAAATGTGACCAATGCAGAAACCCACAGGGCAACACATGTGCATTTAACTTGTGCTTTAAGAAATGAGTTTTCAGAGAAGTTGTAACCATCCAGGTTATGGATTACTTTTTTAGAACCAAATCAGAGATGTCCCTTGCCCAGAACGGTGACTAGCTCAGCCTGCAGGAGCCCCACACCAAGGATCCAAAGTGAAGGAACTTGGGGGATTCCCAAGAGCCGGGGATAGTGTAGACCAAAGAACTGATTAGAACTCAGTGCCAACCCTGTCTCTTATTTCTAGGTCTCTGTTCCAATGCCACTGCCTTGATAATGGTATCAGGGCTGTCGCTAAACTTCAGATAAGCAATTTAAGGAAACACTTCTTACTCAGTAAAAATCTGTTGTTTAACAGAGAAGGAAATGCTACATGGTCTTCCCAGGACAAGGTCCAGATAGGGGCCCTTGGGAATTCTGCATTGGAGAAGACAATCAGGAGCTATATATGTACTGTCCCCATTACCTCTCTGTGTATTTTTTTTTTTTTAAATTGGAGTGGGGAAATCCTATTAAGTCATTAAAAAAAGTAGTTATCACCTGAGTTGTCTTTAGAGCAGTAGTGTGAAACTCAAATAGAAACAGATTCCTGATGAGACATATTGACTTAGAAAATCACAAATTAATATTATCTCGGTTGTATTGTATTTTTCAATTTGTTAAACATTTATTTCCCAGTTACATCCTAATTTGGTTGAAGCTTCTGGAGTTTTTTAGTCCACAACAGAGCCCTGATTTTGAAGCTTCTACCATAGGGTACACAAATCAGTATGTTCTATGACTTCAGCATTGAGGGAGTCTGGACTGTTGTCATAGAATCATTGAGTCCCTTAGAAGCTGTCTGGTCCAACCTCTTCATTTACCATTATGGTGCAATGAAAAGAATATTCATCTTATGGTCAAAAGCCCTGGGTTTGGATCATGGCTCCAACACTTACTACCTGTGACCCTGGGCAAGTCACTTAACATTTCTGAGCCTCAGTTTCCTCATCTGCAGAATGTAAATAGCGAGATAGACCTGATATAAATGTGAGTTCTTACAGGTTGAGGAGATAGCTGCATAGAAAGGTAGACTTGTCCAAGGTCACTCAGTGTTTTAGTATCAGAACTGGGACTAGAAGATATTAAAAAATTAAGTAGTTCATTAAGAGTATTTCTTTTTATAAAAGGTCTGAGGTTCTTTGATGTCCTATTCCCACACTATATCAAGGAAAACCTTAGGAAAACCTTTAGCCCTTGCCCATAAACACCCTATAGTCTGTGACATCTTTTCCCATTCAAGTCTGCCCTTAATGTTTATATTAATTTGATTTCCCCTATGTGACAATGATAAGAGGGGAACAAGATCAAGGCTCCATCCTCCCCCCAGAAAATAACCAGATACTAATGCTTTATACATCACAGGAGAGTTGTCTTTAATTGGTTTGAAGGTTCTAGGGATGGATGATGCTACACTAAAAATTTAATGTTTCATCCTAGAAAGCGTGAGACTGAGAAATTTTCAAATATACCAGTGAAAAATACAAACTTTGACAGGTCCTATGCAAGCTGGCAAGACCTCAATTATGAATGTAGAGGGCTGACTCTCAGCACCAGTGAACACCCAGAAAGAAGAGGGAGCTTACAGCTAAGACTAAACAGTTTGTTGGAGCTGTGATCACAGGCTCTTGTGACATCTACAATTGCTGATGTGCATTCATACAATGGCCAAATTCAGTCTTTTATAAGCCCCTGGGATGCTACAATACAATACTTCTAAAAAGCCATGATTTCATCGGAGTGGTTATCCTAGTTCACCAATTAAGGTAAACAAGTCCTCTTTATTTTTAATAGATTGTCTTCATGGATATAGACCAATTTGTTTTTTTCATTATTTCATTGTCATCTTTCTGATCATGGAGACTTTCTTCCTTTTCTTTTCCTTTGGAGAGGCAATGGGGTTAAGTGACTTGCCCTGGGTCACGCAGCTAGTAAGTGTCAAGTGCCTGAGGCTGGATTTGAACTCAGGTCCTCCTGACTCCAGGGCCGGTGCTGTATGCACTGTGCCACCTACCTGCCCCTTCATGGACGTTTTCTAAATATTGTGAGGCTGGCCCTTGAATGACAGACATTCATTCAGTCTGTAGCCTGGCCCAGGACCAAAAGTTTTTTAGGTTAGTTGGTAGGGCCTACCTGCTAGAGCTTCAGGATTCCCTGCTCTAGCCTGTGAGTGTCACCTCTATCCCATGGTGAGGCATTAGAGCAGGACATCAGTGAAGGAGCATTCTACAATAATTATAAAAAATGCATTTGAAGAGGGCAAGTGTACACACCACCCTACAATTTTAATTCTCAGTCAAGGCTGGCATTTAATACTAACTCACATTAGCTAAATAATATATGACCACAAGAAACAGGTCAGACCCTTAGGCAATTTTCTTTTCTTTTCAAATTCGTAGATTATTATCATTATAATGGCTTATATTACTTGAACTCAAAATGGATTCCCCAAAATCAACATTATATATACACATACATACATAATACACACATATATATATATATATATACATACATAAAATGGGAAAACAGACATTCATCTGAAAAAATTATGGGAGGATTTTAGTGAGTTGAAAGTTCAGTGTGGGTCGACAGCATGATATGGTAACTGCTGCTGGCTACTCCTGCTATTTGCTCTTTGTTCTCAAAGAGGACTATGACATCAGGGAGGTGATGCCATGACTTGCAAGTGAATTGGATTTAAGTGAGGGAGGGCTGGACAAAGTCGCCAGCCTCACTCTCTCCTCCAGAGTCATCTGGGTCCAGTGGCCAGATATAGATCAGGATGATGGGAGATAGCCCTGGATGTAGTGGGAGACCTTGGCCTTTTTAAGCTAAGGCCTTTAACAGGTCTTAGTTTGACTGAGGCAATGCCCATTCAGTGATTAAGGCTTAATAATATATATTATTAATATATGTAATATATCTATATATTATACTTATTGGCTAAGAAATAGTGTGGTGGATCAGTGGAATAGATTAGGTACATAAGACTGTAGTAAATGACTATAGTAATCTAGTGTTGGATAAACTCAAAGACTCCGGCTTCTGGGATAAGAACGCCCTATTTAACAAAAACTACTGGGAAAACTGGAAAACTGTATGGCAGAAACTAGGCATAAACCAACATCTCACACCATACACCAAGATAAGGTCAAAATGGGTACATGATTTAGACATAAAGGGTGATACCATAAGCAAATCAGGAGAGCAAGGAATAGTTTACCTGTCAGATCTATGGTAAAGAGAAGAATTTATGACCAAACAAGAGATAGAGAACATTATGAAATGTAAAATGGATAATTTTGATATGGTAACTAAGAACTAACATTAAGAGAGGCATAGTGTCCAGGACTAGGGCCACACATGACAGCCCCACTCTACTTTGCCCTGGTCAGATCACACTTAGAGCATTATGTTCAGTTGGAGGTACTCCATTTTAAGAAAGATAATGATCAATGGGTGAGCCTCTAGAGGAAGGTAGTGAGCATGATGAATGTTCTCATTATCATGCCGCATGAAAATGGGTTACGTTTAGCCTAGAGAAAAGAAGACTTAAGGCTGATATGATAGCTGCCATGTAGTTGAGGAGCTCAAGTGATGAAGAGGGATTAGCATTATTGTTTTAGAACCAGGGGTGGAAATTGCAAAGAGACAAATATAGGCTTGATAGAAGGGGGAAAAAGTCGTAACTCCCAGAGCTATCTAACAGTGGAATGGACTGACTCGGGAGATGGGGAGTTTCCCCCTTACTGGATGTATTCTAGACACGGCTGATGGTCACCTCCCAGGGGTTTTACAGAATGGACACTTGTTGTTAGATGAGTTGAACTAAATAGTCTCTAGGGTTTCTTTCAACTCTGAGATTCTGTGACTCTATTTAATAATGTTTTATAAACTGCTTTACATACATTATTTCATTTGGTTCTCGTACCTACCCTGTGAAGTAATACACTATTAGTATCCTTATTTTAGAGATGAGGACACTGAGGTTCAAATTAAATGAGCTGGCCAGGGTGACAGAGCTACTTGATGGCAGAGCGAGCACACATCATGTCCCTTAACAGCTAGGTCAATGCTTTTTTTCCCATTGCATGGCAAAGCTATCCACTGTGCCGGGAGAGTATAGTAAATTATTGCTAAATAAAAAAATAGCTTTCCTCAGAACATTGTTTTTGACAGCATTTATTTTATTGCAGCCTTTTAAAAAATTCTTAATGAATTCATTCTAAATCTGTGGTCAAATTACCTGATCTAGGATAACAAGCGACTTGTTAATTTGCCCTAAAGATCCTAAATTTTAATATATCATACATATAATGTATCATACATAGGCCATATATAACAATCATATATCACATGTAACATACAATATACATGCGATACATCACATAGATTACACATGATATATGTGCTATGATAATGTGTCATGTGTAAATAAATATATGAATAAATATATAAATCAAGTCTGATAAGATGTAAAATTGCACAACATTTTCTTAGACCTTGTACTATTGAGAGATCTGATTTGGTATAGACAAATAAACCCTGGATTAAAAGTAGCTAACCTTGGTTCACATCTTGGGTCCTTTTACTCTCTGACATCCTATAAATCTAAATGGGTATCGAAAGAGAAACAGAAGGAACGTGTCCTCACCTGGCATGGACAACAGCAGTCTTTAGGGAAATCTGTTACTTTTTCAGAGCATTAAGTCTCTTTTTAAGGTAACATATTAACAATGTTCAATTTCACCTTTACCCCATCTTTCCTACTCTTACCGCTGGTATTTCTTCTGCTGAAAGTTTGGCTGATAAGCTAATAACATAATTTCTGTCTGTAGAGTCCAGAAAGTCACTGAAAAGAGCATTCGAAGAAAGGTGCCAGAAATATTTTTCATTTTCTGGTGATCTCCTGTTAAGCATCTCCTTGTTAGTATCTGGTAGAGAAAGGATAAAGTTAAAAACAGATCTTCTTCAAAGTATAATACAGTTCTGGCTAAACAAGAGGTAGTCACTAAACATACATATATTGAATTGAATTAAACGATTCCAACATATTAGCTAAAGCAGTAACCCTCTTGATCTAATTGAAAAACCAATCATTATTATTTCTCTTTTGGAAAAATGCTTCCTTTGGAAAATTGAAAATGAAAACAATACATGTACAATGTTAAGAACAAGATCTAAAATAGAAAGGAATGATAATAAAGTTACTGTTAAACAAATGTATTGAACAATATGCTAATTTCCTCTCAAAGGCTGGGGACCCCAGAGACCTAGAGTATCCAGAACTTAAATTGTCATTATTATCAAACTGCTGGGGGCAATTTAAATACCTTTGAACTGTTTGAATCAGATGGGGAGGTCTTCTATGTTATGAATATTCATGAAGACAAACATAGGAGCACATAAAACTTGTAGGATCATTATGAGAACACAGGTAACGAAACCATTTTCACTTAATAGATCCTATTCCAGACGAAACCTACATAGAATGATGTGGTTCCAATGTTTCTTTTACTAGCTTTCTCTCATCCACCGTCTCCATCACAATGTAAACAATCGTGATGATGCAATAAATGCATGACTGCTGCTCGGGCGGGGGGGGGGGGGTTGAGATACTTGCCCTCCTCCTCTTCCAGTGGAGGGGAGGTCCCTGTCAAATCTGAACCCACCTCCTCAGACTGGGTTTAGTCCTAAGGGAAGCCAGGTTGTCTAGAGAGAATTCAAACTTTTGTCCCCCCACGTGTATTGGCTCTTTAACCCCTCACTCACAAGCCCCAGAAGAAACCACTTAAAGCTTAGGTTTAGAATTCCCCCTAAAGGAACTAGAGTATCACTTTGTGTACAATATAGATGAACAAATAAATTAAATAAAAAGTATTAATTAAGTGTTTGCTACATACAAAGTATGATGGTAAACACTGGAGAATAGAAATAGGGAGAGACAATTAGTATAGGAACTTGTAACTTCAATCCAGATGGAAAGGCCCAGTAGACCCTTTAGGGAGCAGCAACAAATCAGGTATGGGATAGCTATTTTCTCCACACAAAATAATTGTTTAAGACCAAAGAATAATATATGCCCACTGACAAAGACTTTAAACAGGCAGCAAAAGTATTATATGACTACTGTTATACCCTCCCTAGAGACTGATATTTAAAACATCAAGACATGAAGCACTTTGTGGGCTTGTTCAATCAGCAATGAATCAACATTCACCTTAGTTCTGCACTCTTTATACAGTTTCCTGCAGACCCATGTTTTCTGGTAAGCCAGGCCTACCAAGCCAGTGGTCATCTTCAAGAACTACAGCAGTTACTAGAGGCAGTTCCCAAACAGGTACCTGGACAGGTAGCCAGTACCAATAAAGTGCCTAGGAGCTCCCAACTTCGGTGGTACAGTGGAAAAAACACTGACCCTGGAGTGGGAAGACATGAATTCAAATTCTACTTTTCACATTTACTGCGTACATGACTTACATTAGCCTCTCCCGGGCTTCAGTAACCTTGTCCGTGAAATGAGGTGGTCAGAGTAGCTGACCTCTGAGGTCCCTTCAGACCTCAGATGTAGATGGATCCTGTGGTTACCCCCACGGCTGGAAATGTCCATCATTGGTTTGATGTTCAGTTACTTATGCTCAGGAAGAGGCCCAATGCCCAGGAACAGGATCACATAGGCAGCAAATGTGCCCAGTGCTATGTACTCTCTGGTGCCATTTCTGCTTGGGTGACAGAGTGCTCCCATTCTTCTCCCCTCCCTACCCCGCCCAGGAAAACACAGAAAGGAAATTTTACTCATCACTCATTCTGTAGAGAGGATGGAAGAGAGAGTCAGCTGGAAGATTCACTCCCTTTAAAGTCTACTAAGTGAGAGGCTTTTTAGTGGCCAGTTCTCCCTGATGCCGTTTGACCACTTCTGTCCCCACAACACAAAAGGCTGCTTTCAGCTATCCCAGAGTGGGGGACCAAGGATCACCATTCAGCATTGAGTCATATATGTCACTGGAAGTTTCCAGGGGAGCTCAATATATCTTGTATGGAACAACCATGTAGATTTATCCCTTACGTGCTCAGTGTTGGTATACTGCATTCAAATCCCTGCTATGGTGACACGACACAGTAGTGACATTGGGGTAGTTCAAACAATGACTTCTCCAGTGATTAAAATATTTTCAGTGAAAATTATATGTTTGGCCCCTTAGTAGCTTTGAGACTGTTAGTGCTATGCTGACCATATTGCTCAAATACCTCCTTTGGTATGCGTTCCATACAATTCTTAAAATATTTTCCAGCATCTCAGTATCTCAATGGACAAAAAATCCAGCTTTCAAAAAAACTGAACTAATAGTGTTATGATACCCCACGACAGAGCTTCCTGATGCAATTCCAGTAAAAGTGTCTGAATTAAAATCAACCTTGAGGCAACATTTTAAAAATAAATTGCTTTGCAGTTCATAAGAAGAACCAAGTTCCCCAGAAAATATGGGGTACTTAAACTTATTTAAACACCTATTATGAGGCATTAAGTGAGTTTAATGATGCATAGTACATTTTAAAGTTGTTTCATGGGTTAATATCATTGCCAAATGCAAGACCATATTAATGAAGTTTCCAGGGCACTGCAAACCACAATTCAATTGAATTCTAAATTGCTGAAACATTTAAGCTTAGGTTTAGGTTGTTTCAAAGCTAAGTGTGTCAGAATAACAAGGAAAAAAAGTCTTGTCTCTTTCCTGTGATATTTTTATTACATGTTTTAACAGAACAAACACAGAACCTAGATTGTGCAACAAACAAAAGATAAAACCTACAGAAACAAAAACATTCCCTATTTCTTTTTTATCCCACTTTTTGTCCCCCAAATATAACAAGTATCTCATTGCATGTAGGGCAGAAGAAATGAAAAATCCCAGAATTTCTATATTCACATGCTGTGTATAGACATATTTACTGATATAAGTAAAACTATATCTAAAAGGAGATTCTGGTCATATAGGTTTCTAAGTAACCAATTTCTGTACAGTTGATTGTATCAATTACATAGACAATACAATTGAGTCATTAAGCTGGTCAAAAATGTGAGACTTCCCAACTATTTTTCAATATGGCATTCTTTATCATATTAAAATAGTCTAGGAGAAATAAAAAAAAAAGATCAAACCTGGATGCCATCTATGTTTGATGTTTCAATGGACCACTCTGGAACAAGGTAAATTCAACATATTTTCCTTTACAGGTGGTGGTAACTAGGTGGTCACAGAATCATTTTTCAAACACATCAGAGTGTTTTTTTTAAACTGCCCTCTTTCTACCTTTCCAATCTTCCATGTACTCTATGATGTAATAAAACTAGATTCCTTACTCTTCCTCACACAAGACACTCCATTTCGTGACTCTGTGCATTTTCCTGGCTGTTTCCCATGCCTGGATTTCTCTCCCTCTTTGTTTCAGCCTTCTTCCCTCAAATTTCTGCTAAAATCCTAACTTCTGCAAGAAATGGGAACTCTCTGAGGACAGGCATTGTTTTTGCCTTTCTTTGTATTCCCAACATTTAGCGTAGTACCGCCTGTTGACTTGACCCTTTGCTTTTATTAGTCTTTTTTTCTTTGAAAACTTGAATGATCAGAGTAATGCCTATATAGCATAAAACATGCAACACACATAAATGCTACATAAAGAGGATCAGATACTCAGACTGAGATATGCATGGGTAACTACCAGGTTTATTGCCCAAAAAGATCAAAGAAAGAGGAAAAGGACCTATACGTACAAGAATACTAATGACAACTCTTTTTGTTTTCCGTAGCAAAGAACTAGAAACAAAAGGGGACACCAATCAGTTGAGGAATGGCTGAACACACAGTCTATGAATTTAATGGAATATTATTGTACCATAAAACATGAGAAAAGGGATAACTTCAGAGATTGTGGTTGTTGCTCATCCTTGGTTCTCGAAGACGACCAATGACATCAGGAGGGTAATGTCTTGACTTGCAAGTGACTTGGATTAAAATGAGGCAGAGCTGTGCAAAGTCATCAGCCTCACTGTTTCCTCCAAAGTCATCAGAGTCCAGTGGCAAGACATAGATCAAGATGACTGGCGATGGCCCTGGATGCAGTGGGAGACCCTGGCCTTTTTAAGCTAAGGGCTTTTCAAGGTTTTAGTTTGTCAGAGGCAATGCTCATTCAGTAATTAAAAGCTAGGTAAGAATTGAGGCAAAAAATGACCTGGTTTGCCTTCATAAAAGAATCAGTCTGAGAGAGGAGGACCCTCAGAGTTTCTGGTCAGAACAGAAACAATTGCTATTTACACTCACTCAGAGCCATCAAAACCCAAACAATGAGCAAGTAAAGCTTGGGCGGGGACAATTTCAGAGAAACCTTACACAACCTGATGCAGAGTGAAGCAAGCAGAGCATGAATAATTTATATAATAACTATAACAATGTAAAGGAAACAATTTCATAAGATTTAAGAACTCTAATCAATGCAATGACCTGCCATGATGTATAAAGACCAATGATGTAGCAAGCTAACGAACTCCTGCGAGAATAGTGATGGACTCAGCATGCAGAACAAGACAAACATTTTCAGACATGGCCAGTGAACAGATTAGTTTTGTGTGATTATGAATAACTGTTACAGAAATTTTGTTTCTTTTTTATTAAATGGAAGGGGGATTTGGGGAGAGAGGCAGACTAGTAATAATGCTACCCACCCCCACCCCACTGCCCCAAGAAGCAAGGAGTGTCATTGAAGCATTTAAAAGAAAATGTACAGAGGAGAATCAAAGGACATGCAGAAGGAAACATAGACAAGCAGGATAGTTTTGAAAGTAACATGTTGAATTTATTATATCCCTTTTAAGAAAAGGAAGCTATACATAATAGAAATTCACAGTTTGGGTTTTAATCACCTTTTTCTGTTTTACTTT